ATTTGCTAATTTTCATGTTGGGAAATATGCAATATATGTTGTATCCATAATCAACTTGCCATCAGTAGTAGGCATCCTTCCATCTCGAGAGATGATGGTAGCACTCTAGATGTCCTTCCGTTGTGTGCAGCGTCTGGAGTGGCTTATCAGACCTATCTTGGCGTGACAGTCCCGACCGCAGTTGGGACACAGGAACGTTGAGACATTCTGTGTGTTTTGTTTCTCTCTACGCTTCTGGCGCTTAGTCTCCAGCTGCTCGCAGCGTTTTGCCTGTCCTCTCACTATGCCAACCTTGACTGCGTGTCGCCAGCCACTGCGGTCAGCCGCGAGCTGTTCCCAGCTGGTTGGGTCGATGTCAGTGCATTCACACCACTTACCATCACACCACATATATTTACGGTTTCATACCTTTAATTTCTGATGGCCGGGCGGGGGAAAGGTAATGTTGGACTTCAAGTACTTAACTACTTTAAGTAATTAATCTTGTTTTGTTACAACAACATGCTTAAAAAGTTATCTAGGCCATTTTTCATCTTGGGGAAAAAAGAGAATGCTTTCTTCCTAGAAGCATCATTGTTTGATACAAACAAAGGAAACGCCAGGAAGAGAAAATGCATTGTAAACAGCAGATTGCTGGTGAGCTTCTGTACATGTGTTAGCTGGCTACATTTGACCGGACCGGGCCGGTCAACTAAGGGTCAGGGTCAACGTATTGATGCTGTATGTGAAGTTGGTAAAATATCAAGCTTGAATCTTTTGTACTGTTTGCGTCAATTCCGAGATGGATCGGCCATAAGTATGGAACATATTTGACAATATTCAACTGAACATTTGATCAGTACAACTTTTTAAATTCTAAAACGCGTAAAACAGTTACGGTGAAGAATTTGCGTTATTTTTTAACTCCTCGAGTGGGAGCATGTTTTTCAGTCCAAACCAAATAAGGAAACGCCAGTCCTAAGATTAAATGATATCCAATTTGCAAACATGAAAGGAGCCTCCATCAAAAAAGTTCACGTAATCTTTAAAGAGGGATTAGATAATTGATGGATTGTATCGAGCCATTTGCACATGATAAGACGTTTGAAGGGTTTTGTTATTACCCACCTTAGTACACATATAGTACTTCCGTCAATCTGCAGACTTGCCAGCTTACTTGTAAATCCCATGTTTGTTTTGCTTATCATCGATCAATTGTGTGAAAGCGAGATAAAGAAATATTTACAGCGTCGGCGTGTTCACGACGTTTCATTAACCCTCATAATGTTTGTTAGCACTCTTTGTCATTGGCACATTTCAGGTCGGGTTTGCTATTGCGCAAGTCTTTGTTACCAAGAGGCTCCCCAAATAGTTCAGGATTTGAAGAACGCCATGAGTACATACTCACAGTTCTAGGCACTAATCTTCAAGGTAAGCCTGTATTGAACACTAACGTGTTGTGAATTTATAGTAACTGTTATACTCGTTATGTTTGCGTTTCAGTCCGTAATGTAAGGAAATAGTCTACACGTTTAACCTAAGATATACAATCCCAGAATACAAAATGCAGAATATTTTATTCACGATCTGAAATATCTTTAGTTAGCTCCTAATGTTTTGGCAGCTGTTCAGAGTAAAAAAAAATCGGTAGCAAGAGAACCTAATTGTGCAATTAACTCAAAACATTAAGTTATTAACGGACAATTAATATTTGCAGGTGGAACAACAGGTAAAGACCACCTGTATAGGACAACCGTCACGATGTCTTCACTGCAAGATGTCTTTCTTAGCTGGAACGCAATAGACGTCGCACAAACCGCCTTCGAAGTCCCGGCCATCAAGAAAGAGTTGGTGAAGTTCGTTCTTAAAGAGATAGACCGAGAATGTTCTCTGATTTGTTTCGATGGAATAGGGTCTGAGATTAGTCTTATCACTGAGAACCAGAATTTACGAGAACGCCTGCGTGAACTTGCCCCACTTCTCCTGAGTGTCTTGGACACCACAGTGACGGCGATTATGAAACATCCCTCAAACGATAAAGAAAACTGTGACATTTCAAAGACGAAGACAGTTCGCAAAGAAGCAGCGACCATCGAGTCCACAAAGAACCTGTTCCAAAACAAAGCATGTATTAGAAGTACGGGCTTCAAGTCACGTGTCTTTGGAAGTAATGGGATATCAGTAGATGGATGTAGAAAAATGGGCACAACATCTAAATTAGTCAGTAAAGCTTATAGAGAGGGATTGTTTCGTGAAAATCATTCATCTTCTATTAGGCGTTCTATAGATCAGTTCCTTTTTGATGTCAACACAATGGAAGCTACCATTCTCGTTCCGACACAGCTACTCCATATTTCCGAAGACCACGACCTTACAAGATGTCTTCCAGCACCGTTACGAGACTGCGACCTTAAGGAACTCTTTGACTCCTTAAAGAAGCTTCGGACTCAGTTCAGTGATGGAAAGATGTATCTGTCTTGGTTCGAAGACAGTAGCGATCAAGTAAAACATGCCATGGTACTTATACAAAGAAAAATTTCCAGTCTGTCTGCTATCTTAGACAAGCTTGCTGCCACTGCTCGCTTCATCACAGAGAAATATGAGGAGCAAATTTGGGCTTACTAGAAAAAACAATGAAAACAAAACCAAGTACAAGACTGTATTTTCTATCCAATTTGTTTTGGTACACAGTGTATGTACAAAAAAAACGTATGTATATAATAACTTTATTCGCAAAATCATGCCCGAGGGCTAATTGCTTTTACAATCAAGTATAATACTCACAGTACCTTTACACCGTAACAGGAGACATGTAACAACTATCTGGGAAAAAACTTCTACTTCTACTACTACGCTAGCTATTGTGGGGTTCGACTTCTTCTTTGAAGGCAGTGGAAAATGAATTGTCCCACGTTCTGCGTAATTAGTGGGTTTTGTGATATATAATGTGATATATAAATTGTTAATTGAAAAGTGGGTGGCTCAAGGGAACATTATAGGGAGTAAGTCGCGGAATTTGAAAGTTTCGTTCCTTGAACGTACTAATTGCTACAGATTCCATAGTATTACCAAAATCTTTTTATTTTGCTTCCGGGTGTGAATGTTAAGCAGCAACTGTCTTGTAATGTTAAAGGGCAATGTCACCTCGAGGGTAAATTCTACTGAACGCAAACTAGAGCACTCACTTCAATTCAGCTGACAGGTTCACCTCATTTTATGAGAAAAGAGCAATTGAAGGAGCATGGCATCCATAGGAGAAGACAGGTACAAAGTAGGAAAAGAATTAAACAAGTACGAAGAAACAAAAGAATCCCTTCCTATTTGTGATAAGGAATATAAGAAGGTAATATTAAAAGTGTAACGTGTCTTGACATTCTCATATATTGTATATAGAATAAATGGATCTTTATCTAATATAACATTTCCAAGGTGTCTTTGTCTAATGTGTTTGGGAGAGGCTTCTGTCTATTCCTAGTTAGTTTAATGAGTCACCAGGTAGTCATGAGGTACATACGTGTACATGTTTAGACGACAAGTTCTTTTCAAAGGATATCCACTGTGGCAATTCCCTCTAAAACCAATGCCGTGCAGTTTTCCGAGAGTAAGATGTTCTTGAAACGATTTAGTCACTTACGTTTTTTAGCCAACGTACCGATAAAAAAAACATGTTTGACAAAGTTTATAGCGATATTGAAAACACTTCCTCTATAGGACTGTTTGCAACTAGTTCCTTCACAACTTACATTAAACTGCAATCAGTCAGTTATGTTGGTTTTGAAAGCTTCAGCTATGCTAGTTTGTCACTGACAAGCTTATTCACGTAACATGCGCCTAAACGTGTGCATTTATGTGTCATACATATTTTGAATTTGTATCCAACATTTAACCGGTTATGACACACACTGACAGAAATGATGAAACGGACTGACAGAACTAGTAGTAGATATCAGTAGTACATGACACACTCAAGTTTTCATCTTATTTCCATGCCGCCACCAACGCAGAGGATATAATGCTAATTTTCTCCTTAGTGGGGAAAGTCGTGTTAATTAAAGTTCCCAATGGCACAGCAAGATGGGTTGCCTGGTGTGACAATATGAGGGGCGGTAGATGGCAGGGTTCGAACCCGGGAACGCTCGATCTCTTCATTCCGAGCCGAGTAGTCTGCCTGTTACATCGATATCACACGACCATACAATTGACAAATTTAGAATCAAATCGTAAATCAATATCTGTTTGCTGAAACTCACAACGACGAAACAATATTTGAATTTTTAGACACCTAGAAATAAAAACAAATGTTCGGCTCTTCGTACCGGTGGCAAATGTGCAAATATTGTTACATTGGCGAATGCGTAGTGTGTTTTTCACACATGTACACATGTGGATGGATCGATTAACCAAAGAGGCTCGGTCGGCGATACTAGACCGTACAAGTGAAGCGGCACGACGTCGGGGCATAGTGAGTATCGAACCCAAGACGTTTTGGTTCCGAGTCCAACGCTGTAACCGTTACTACACCAGCCCTCTTTGTTCGTTAAAATTTAAGTCGGCCTTACGTAACACATATCGCTAATAAAATTAGCTAATTGTAAACGAAATTACCCTGGTACTGCTTTAAACGCGTAGTCAAAGTATACATTAAAAGAGACCCCCTACGGCTACGGGAGGTTCTGCAATGGACCGGTACGTGTAACCAATATAGTGTAATAATCTGAAGTAGTCACAAATTGCAGAGATAACTTCCCAACGTTTCAAGTACCATGTAGAAAAAAACATCCAGAAGTCATCTCTTTGTAATATATGGTATATGTATATATTGAATGCACGTCACGCATTGGCTTTCTTTCCTCATACATGACTGTATTGTACATGTACATGTACATACAAACATTCAGTATATGCTCTTTCATCCAGAAATCGTGACAACAAATATACATAGCATTCCTTGAACTTTATTCCAGTATTCCAGTATATCTTTTTCTCCACTGCTCTAAGAATGCTCCAAAATGATTCTGTAGGAAAGCTGTTGAAACCCTACTAACATTTACAGGACAGTACTTGGTACAGAGTTAACATCTATGCCTGACAACTTGGAGTGAAATACTGTTTATATTCTTACTTTATTTAATGCAGTAACATTGTCCCATCTAATCTAGCAGGTTATTTTCATGTAATTTCCTTCTAAATACATCATTTTTCACAAATGAAGACAACAGTATTGTCTAATGCAGTTTAACTTTTACAGAGTGTGAGTTTACGATGTGTCCATGGCCTCTCCAGTGACAGTTGTTTGGATATCGATGGGTAGACTGCGTACACTCTTGGTCAGCACTGCTGTTGTGCCACGCTTGTACTTGTAGGACCCTTGCCTGGACAATGTAGGAAAAACAGTTGTCAGCATCATCTCACCAAGTCCACATGAATACGAGCCATAGCTGTTTTTCTTTACATCATATACATGCAAATTATTTGAAGACATATGCAAACTATCGGTGGGCAAGTCAAACAACCGTCATCCACTTTTTGCCTGGTGATCTCTCGTATTAAGTTTTGTGAAGTTTAAAATGAAGACTTGCAGCTGGCTATATCACACCGAATGACTTGTTACACCTAACCCTTGAACATCTAACTCTAAATATTGTTTTAAGCTATCTAATGATGATGTCCCTACTGTACTTGGTGACAGTGAGTTCTACTCTACAATACATGTAGTTCAAGGAAAGAATGAGTTTTTGAACACCTCAATCTTTGGTTGATAACCCTGGTACTTGAAGGCATGATTATTTCTTGTTTTTTCCCAAGCTGGTATACTATATATTACTATGTGACATATATGTGTCAATTTCTAACTTTGTTAATATCAATGCCATTCAAGGAATACTGTTACCCCTGCAATGTTTCATTTCATTTTTCATTTTTACTTATTTACCCAGGGTAAAATATGGCACCGCAAGAAAAAAAAACAACAAAAAAAAAAGAAAACAAAGATACAAAATAACTTAATTACAATAATAACATATTGGTAAAGGTGCTTCAAAATCATACGGCAAACTAATGACTTATACAGTATGAAACGAGTGAATAAATATCACAAATGAATGAAATGTTGGTATGTCAATAAAGTATTTGGACTTCACAAGAAGAAACCGACCTGACTCCCTTGAGGTTGGCGATGTCGTGAGGCCGGATGTAGTCCACCTTGCCCTTGGTGATGACACAGAGGTCAACGTTTGACCCTGACCCAAGGTCGTTGAAGATGCCAGCTGCGATGGCGTCGCGGACCAGCTGTTTGGCTTCCTCCAACTGGGACAGAGCAGAGACAACAGGAGTGTGAACATTGTCATTAAACATGGAAGCAGTGTGTTTATCAGATAACTTGAAGTGTTCAGCTTGTGTTCTTTATTATTTTGGGTCTCAATTCGAGTGTATAGAGACTGTCTCTTTCAAAAAATAATTCTGAAACAAAAAGAGCATGGAAACAAGTAAAATCTGAGATTTTATACCTCCGGGCTTTTTATTGCATATGTTTACAACAACAATTGTTGCGCGCTGCAGGACAAGGGTTTTAAAAGAATTTATTGAGACCGGACACCCCTCTGTGCGAGGGGTCACCTTCGTGGACGAGACCGACAATACCTAATACACGCCAAAGGTCAACGATCGCGACCACTTTCACGCTCAAAGGGGTGTTCTGGGGCCACCAAAAGGCACCATTTTCACGCCCGAAAACACATAAAATTATACAATAAAAACAAAAGAACGTGCATTATCTGCAGCCCAGTAGCAAAGCATATGTCAAGTCTCAAAAGAATTCGTCCACCCAAACGCGAGAAACTGCTGCAAACATGAAAATCTACATCTCTCACAAAACCCTTCCGCGGAAGGATGTCTCCTCCCCTGAATTTAAGGTTATGAAGGATCCCTCTACATGTAGCTACAAGAACAATTTTACTCATCTAACCTCTCAAATTTTAGTGAATTTTAGGCGAAATTAGGATTTTGCGAAGAAGATTGATGAAAAAAATGGCCATTTACATATTGAATTAAACCCATCACCCATGCATGATTTAGCCACAAAAAAAATGCAGTAAAAAATCAAGAAAAGTACATGTATGAAGAAAGTCCTAACACTAGGATTTTCATAACACTTCCAGACCTCGCATAACTACAGCACCCAAAGAATGTTACGCATGAAAGGTACTAGTACATGTAAATCTGGGTCAAACTGCAATCATGGCAAAAGAATATGCAGAAGAAAAAACAGAACATTGATTTTCTACATACCGACCCTAGTTTTTTTTTCAGGACTGAAACTGGAAACACAATAATACTATCACTAGGCCTAAAATCATCTCTGAAGTTTAAGATTCTCACCTCCATATTGGGCTTGAACCTGTCTTCAAATGTAGCCATGGCAGCAAGAGATCCAGAACCTGGGGGGTAATACAACAGTCAGGAAAAGGTGCACAGGACTAATCACTGATCTTTTCTACATCAATTACATATTAACCTACCGCAACAGTACTATTGCTTAGTTGTAAGATTGAGCTTAAGCCTTAACTCTAACACAACAAAGGGAACTCACCATAAATTTTTGGTCGATCTTGTCAACTTTCATTAGATGTGTGATCCACTCACTGACTCTACGTACAATGTAAGTTGGAACCGTGACAATGTTAGGAGTGAATCAAAAATAGCGGGAAGGTATACTGGACACGGAGAAAGACTACTTTGTGAGGGGTGTAAAGAAGGCAGTTTACATCAGGGCCCATCAACCCTCCCTGAACCGTGACAGTGGGAGATTCCGTCTTCCCGCCACATGTATTTTCAATTTACTCCTGATGTCATCAATATTATGCTTTCGACTTGGAGAGTCAGAGAGTGGATCACACATTTACTCACCCATGCTGACATAGGGCAGCTTGTCAGTAGACCCACGTGGGCGTACAGTGTACAGATATATCTCACTACTCACCCATGCTGACATAGGGCAGCTTGTCAGTAGACCCACGTGGGCGTACAGTGTACAGATATATCTCACTACTCACCCATGCTGACATAGGGCAGCTTGTCAGTAGACCCATGTGGGTGTACAGTGTACAGATATATCTCACTACTCACCCATGCTGACATAGGGCAGCTTGTCAGTAGACCCATGTGGGTGTACAGTGTAGAGATGTGGGCCAGTGCAGTCCACCCCTCCCAGCACCAGAGCAGCACTGATATATCCCTGGTACCTGCATAACACACAGTAGAATACAGTCAAGCCCAAGTCAGACTCCACGGTGGTAAAATCTGGGCTGCAAAGTTCCCACATGTCATAGAACCTGAATTGTGTACGATCGTGTTCAATCTGGGCAATTCGAATCGAACCCACGTTCCATTTCGGGGTCACCTGTGGTTATTTACAATAAAGCGGCAAAACAAGCCTTTCTGCCTCCGTGCCTTGCAACAGATAAAAAACAACACTTTTCTATAGATACAAACAGTTTCCTGGACAGTACATGTCCGCTATCATTTTTTTGTAGACATGTAACATGTAGCGAAGCTACTGTTGTATCCTTGGGTGACCTTGAACACTGTAATGGTTCTTTACGCCAGTATGAATAACAAAATGCTGACTTTTGGTCGACATGACATGTCTGCAAAACTCTTTTAAACCTGCACGCATGGAGAGTCAAACATACCCCATTCACGGCTCAAAATGACCGTTACAATTGTCCCGAAAATCGTGTTTTAGGGATTTTTGAAAAATGGCCTCAATTTTGAATTATGGGTAATTTAGTGCGAAAAATGTAGAAAAAATCTTTTTTTTCACCAATATGTCGACAAAAACTAGACTTAAAATCAGAAATTAAAAAATCCCTAAAACACGATTTTTTATCTTATTCCTTGTCGTCGAAAAATATAAAAATCGGGGATCTAGGGTAATATTTGTAGCCAGGTTTAAACGATGTTTGCCTAAAAACATGACATGACTTGTGGTCGAAAACCCGAAGAAAATTGTATTTCGGCACGAAATTTTGAAAAATCAATGATTTACCATAAACAGCTAATATTAAAAGGTTGGTAAGGCAATAATTTCATTTTAATTTGACGAAATTTACCATAAAATCCTTTTTGTTTATTTTCAAGTGTTTTACGGGCAGTCCAAAACAGGCCAAAATAGCGTCTTGTAACCCGATACTTTTTAGAACACGCCTAGTAATGGGAAAGAATGCCGTAGTGACAGACCGCCGTGCTCACATATTTACAAATATATGTACATGGCCTCCCAAACACTAGCCAAAACCCTCATTGTGGTTTAGAAGCAGGTCCGCACAAAGTTTTGGTGTTTGTATTGGCTACTACTAAGCTGCGCCAACCAAATGTTTCAAAATGTTTAACTTTAAAACATTACGGAGTTGGACACATGTTTGTAACGCCATTTCTTATCCTGATGAAGGCGACAGTACCAGTAGTGGTCATTGAAAATTTGATCTCTTGTAAGCTTTGTGTTGGAATTAAGTTTAGCATTGTACTTTATATTAAACTAAATGATTACTATTATATAATACCAACACAGATGAACTTTAAATTTCATGATTAGTATTCAGTGTGTTTTCCTTATTGACATGCCAAGTCCAATCTATACCTGAAGCCTTAACAAAACATGTTTACTTGCATCCAAGGTAAATAATATTCCTTTATATAAGGCCACACTAATCTAACTTGTTGGTTCTCGGATTCGTTTTTTTTTTCTGATTTGCAAAAAAAAAAGGATTCTGGTTCTAAGTCAACTCAGAAATGCTTGTATTTTGCCCCAAACAGTTCAAGAAAGTCCTTTTCTTCCTACTTGTTCCAATTTTTCCATTTATCAATGCCTGCGTTATTTTGTTCTGTACCGTAGTATACTGTGTAAAAACATTGTACAAAAACTCATATATTTCATGGAGGTATATGAGATCTCCAAATTCTTGTTTATTTCTGCCCGGTTGCTTCATATTTTTTTCTCAAAAAATCCGAGAACCAAGAAATGAAATTGGCGTGGCCTAAGGTAAGGAGGTATTGTGACAAAATTACATATCAATATTTCATGATTGTCTCTCCAGAACTGTAAAAAAACTACCCGATTACTAAGAACTGAAAAAGGGAAGTTTTTTGTTCTTAAGTGAAAACAAGAAGTCAGGTTACTTCCCCCACCTGTACACACCTGTGCATACATTAGGCCTGGGGGAAAATGTTGTATTTTTGGTTACCCAACCGACCCTAGCAAACCTACCAGTATCAGAATTGTTCCGGTTCATTTTGGTTCAAGTCAAAATATCAGTATACTGAACAAGATGCATTTCAGTGTTGAATTTAACTGGATTTTGTTGGATTACTTGTCTTTGGCTAAAATGGAAAAGGCTAATATCTAAAAAATAAAAAAAAGTAATATTTGCTAAATAAATGCATCATGTTTACCTTCACCTGGTCTAGTCCAACAAACAACTGCACTGTTTATTCTTAATCAAAGTCAAATACATCATAATGTAATTTGCTGAGCAGGCTCCCCAACTCTATCTGTAATGGACAGATAAGAACAGATGAACAGATACAACACCACAAGGTACCATGGTGACAGAGGTCTGATTCAGGTCATTGACTGTATTTGTTTGGAACAGATTCTGAAGAAGACACTTAATTAGCAAAAACAAAATTTTCCTTCTGTGAAGGTAAACATAACTTCCATGTAAGTTAATATCAATAATGAATCTCTACCTACTTGCCCTATTTTTTTAAAGAACTTAACAGGAAACACAACATTAATTTTCCTAGGCCTTTAGCCCTTTGTGTCTCACCTGAGGTCAACACTTATGAGTCATACCCCGATCTACCAGTTATTGTACTTTGTAGCTGAATGTTCCTCTTTCACTTTCAACCTAAACAGGTACACTCAGCAGGTATACACTTAGGCCCACTCTAGACGAAGCATTTCGCGACAGCGGTAACTGCCGACAGCGGCACGCCGACAGCAGGAACGCCGTCTAGAGAGGATTCCCGACAACGTAGTCCCGCTGTCATGAAATTTTCTGACGACAGCTCCAAAGTTGTCGGCCGACAACTCAGCGGGAGTTCCCGACAACTTAAAGTGCGTATAGAGAACTCGCGACAGCGGGAGGTCAGGGTTCAGTTTGTCACAGAGCATCTAAAATGTTCCCCTCGACATCCTGAAGCACCTGTAAAACTCTGTATCGCACAGTGTGCCTTGAACAAATTTTTGCCAAAAGGTCGCGGGTTTCTTAACGTATCGCCAGATCCTCCGGTGGACAGGATCACCACCTTTGGCCACTGAGCAATGGCAGCGGGGAGGTAAGCAGGGCGCGACGTGTCAGCAACATCTCCCGGTATCTCAACCGTCTCCTGCGTGCACCCCTTGCTCGTCGCCTCATATTGGACAAGACGCGAGTGACTAACATAAAGAAAAACATCTGACACACGGCGAGGAAAAACATTGGCGGCTCCCCCGCCATTTTGGATTTCACGCGTTAGAACATTCGGATGTTCGATGTTCGATGCGAAGACATTTGTGTGTATAAAGACGTCGCGACAGCGGCGTCCCGACAGCGGGAAATATCGCCGCTGTCGCGAAATGCTTCGTCTAGAGTGGGCCTTAGT